GTACAGGCTGTTTCGGTCATGTTTGGTTGATTTGTTTTGTAGCTATATTCCACTTATTCAGATCAGTTTTCTCACTCACTTCAGGGAATTAACTTAGCATATTATGATATACTTTGCTATCTTTTACTCGTCCTCTCTGCTCCGCCCCGCTGCCCAGATTAAAAAGCAGTGTCTGAAAATGAAATGATACATTTTCAGTGTCATCCTTTTTTTTTTTTTAATCTTCATCTGAAGATATTTATCTACTGATTTTTTGAGAGATTGGTAAGGAGAGGAAGAGACACAGAGAGAGAAATGTCTGTGAGAGAGACACATGGATTGGTTGCCTTTGTACAATTTCCAACCAGGGCTGGGGATCCAGCCTGCAACCAAGGTACATGCCCTTGTCCAGAATCAAACCCGGGACCCTTCAGTCCATGGGCTGACGCTCTTTCAACGGAGCCAAGCCAGCCAGAGCATCATCCTTATTTTTGAAAGACCAGTTGTTTCTACTGATGGAAGATTTAGCCATATTTAAATCATCTTTGTTTCTGAGCCATTAGGACTTAATAAAGGGCATTCTGCTCTTACGATGTGACTGTTTCCTCCCCCAAGGGTCTGAGGGGAATTGTGCAGGTCATTTGCTTCTGTGTTCAAAAGGCAGAGAAACTAAACATAAGCTTAAATTAGATTGAAGAAGCCAACTCTTTTTCCTTGACTCCTATAGTATACCTTCATGATCATCATTTCACAGGTGGGAATCTGAGGCCTAGATAGTCAATGGGAGTGTTGGGACTGGACCCTAGGTTTTTAGGTGCCAGCCCTGGCATTCAGAGATTTCTGGGGCTAACCCAGAATATACAAGTTTGAAAGATGATTCCCTACTTCTGGATCTCTTGCTATTTTGTAGTACATTTCATGTATTTTTTATTTGTAAGACAATTAGGGTGTTGATACCCTTGCCTCATATAATATTGAAAAACGTGATTATAGAGGACATAGGTGCCAAAATGCTAAGTAAAAAGTTAGTCAGAAAAAAAAAAAGCCAATAGTGCGTTAGCATCTTAATATATTTTAGGAAGAATTCAGAAGTTGGGCAGAAATTACATAAAATTAGATTTTAAGGTTTAATAATTCATAAGCAATTTAATAATTATTCATACTTTTGTCCATATTTAATAAGTCTGCCACAGTGTAATTCTCACTGACTTCAAAAGAAGTTCTGTATGTGGACTTAGGAAATGTGAGAGAAATGTGAGAGAAAATCTTGGTAATTTTGAATTATAGTGCTTTTTGTAAATAGAGTATTTTCTGGCACTTGCTCTGTATAAACCACTAAGCAATACAGCACGCCTTTCTGTTCTCTTAACAGGCTTCTACTTAATGAGGTTTGAGTGTATATTTGAGTATATATTGTAGCTACTGGGTAGAAAGTATTCCAAGTATAGCACATAAGTGAAGGGCAGCTGTGGGTAAGCATAGCAGAGCTTTCCCTTTGTAGTGAAAGTGCTTTGAAGAGTACAACAAGAATAGTTAGTTTAGCCACAGGACTTTACACTGTAGAGAATCAGCGGACTTAGTGCTGGCCTGGAAATGTATTTTGCCTGAAGTCCCTTTGTGGGACTTTCTTTGTTTGAAGCCAAGTACGGGCCGTGGTTGAACCTGCACAGAACATGGAGTTTGCAGGACCAGCGAATGCTGTGTCCCCAGGGCTTCTTTACAAGCTGACCAATGGTATGCAGACTTCAGTGGGCTTGCTCCTTTCCTGTTTTGCACTGAGGCGCCATCAAGTGGCAATATCCAGAACTGAAGCTGCTATTGCAGCTCTCCCTCTGCTGCCAAGGCATTGCTGAGAAACACATTTTTGCATTTTAATTTGGAGGAATGATACTGCTTTGGATCAAGAATTAGAGGGAAGCAATGAACTGGAAATAATGAGGTCAGAGACCTATGTGGTAGTTGGATCCTTAAGCAACCATTATATTTGGCATCCTCTTAAATCCAGCATTCTCAGAGAATTAAAAATTATTTAAAGCCCGTTTTTGGTACTGGAATAAACTTTAATGCAGTCTTTCAAATAGCCAGATGATTTATTCATTTGGGCAATAGCAATTGTTGCCTTAATTATAGGATATAATGCTAATTTAGATTTTTTTCTCCTGTACACTGTAGTTGTGTTCACCACCCAAAGTCAAGTCTCCGTCCATCACCATTTATCCCCTCTCTACCCTCTCCCACCTCCTTCTACTCTCTCCACCCTGCAATCACCCACACTGTTGTCCATGAGTTTTTTCTTTTTTCTTTTTTTTTTTACTCAGCAACACCCCCACTGTGTCTGCTGCATCTAGGGTGGTATGCCCAGTGCTAGGGCATAATATGAGATCTGTCCTCAAAACTTTGCAGAATAGCTTGGGAAACAAGTGAATGAATGAAAATGAACAATGTGCCAAAGGCAGGGTATCAGGTTTGGGGCTATCTCAGGAGTATTGTGTAGGAAAACTTGGACTTGAGCCTTCAGAGGAAGGAGAGACCTTAGCAGATAGTGAAGGCATTTGAGAGCCTGAGGAAAGAGCTTATGTACATGGGACTTGAGGTAAGAAATGAGGGACCCAGGGTGGCTGAGAGTTCTGTTCAGGAAATAGTGAGAGGGGTCAGAATTCAGATGAAGATTAGATTGTGAAGAACTTAAATGAGAGTTTGACTAATTGCCTTTCTGTAAGAATGGGCCACAATAAGAGGGTAATTGTGACTGAATTAATCTTTGGATGTATCAGTGAGGCAGTTTAATGCTTTTTCCCTTCATTTAAGTACTAAAGCGATTAAATATGTGAACTGAAGGATTTTAGAGTAATTGATCTTTAAAGTTTCTTCTATTTATAATTTATAATTTAGTGAATTTCAATGTAATTCTTCTGTAAGAAATAAATGTACAAGGAGACTTTTAAAATTACATTTAATGGTATTAATTTTAAAGGGAACAGCTGGCTCAGAAACTTTACTAATAACTTTTAAGATCTAAAGCCAGCATGTCAAACTCTCGGCCCTCGGGCCGCATGCAACCTACAACAAATATTTCTGTGGCCCAGCCAATATAACGGTATCTAAGAAACGTTTTAATAAAATTTTTGTAATTTAATTTTACAATATATTGTTATACATAATTATTAATAACGAACTACAATGTTTGCTAATGACTGATTACTATAATCATGTTGCTGGGAGTTTTGTGAGAATTAGTGAGAAGGGTCAGAATTCAGATGAAGATTGGATTGTGAAGAACTTAAATGAGAGTTTGACTAATTACCTTTCATAGAATGGGCCACAATAAGCAGATAATCGTGAATGATTACCCTTATGTGCCTTACTCGCAGGCGCACCATTTCTCTCCATTAATACTAGCAGCAAATATTTTAGCAGCCAATTGCCACATCATTAGTCTTATACTGACTTGTTTGCTGTGCGCAACAGGAAGTATTTTCCTTTCGGAGAATAAGAAAAATAGGTTTGTTTGTGTTACTCTTATTAATTTGTGTAGTTATTCAGTTAATGTTTAAGAGAAAATATTAAATTTTATTAAAATGTTCTATTATTTTATGTTAAAATTTACTCATTTATTTCAGCCCTTTGTATTTAGCATGTCTCTATGTAAATAAAACGACGTTTCTATGAAAATGGAAGCTTTTGTTTTTTACTGCCCCTATAAACTTAAACCTTGTTCATTTGGCCCGTGTTAGCCTTTGAGTTTGACTGCTTGGTCTAAAGAGTGACAACCAGCCTTCTGTAATTTGGGTAAGAGAGAAAAATCTAAAATGAAACTAGGGCTAAGATTGTAGACAGAATACATGCTCTAAGTTCCGGTTTACTTTCTAGAGACCGGTGGCAAAATTCTCCATACTTCCCAGCAGCCAAGGCAAAGAGGGACCCACAACTAGCAGTTACGCAATGTGTCACGACAAATAGAAGCACAGCTACTCCCACCACTTAATCTTCAAAAAATGTTTTTCTATAGGCACTCTTAAAATTCTTGTGAAGAATTTTCTCAACAGTATCTCCTTAGCTAAGGTATTAAAAATCAACTGTCACTAAAATGTCCCTCATCCTATATTGGTAGCATAACATCAAAGTGCAGTTCAGTACAAACAATTGTCTGGGGACCTGAAACTGCAGTCTAACGAAGGTAATGCACTGGTGCTCTGGCTTAAGAATAAAATTTAGTAAGAGTATGGAAAGCAGTGATTCTTGAATAGTGGGTTCATTTCTTTGGGAAATTGATAGTAGGTCTGGGTACCTCTCCTCCCCAATGCACATACACATAATCATACCAAATTTTGTTCATTATTTTAATCTATTCACAATTTCAGAGGGTTACACCCTTAACCCTCCTACTCTCACTCATTCATAATCTTCCTGATGTACACCCTTGGTCTAGAGTTGCAGGTGGGCTACAGTAATCAAACATGGCAAACACTGGAGCAAAGAATGTTTATGCTGATAAGACAGATTCATCTGCTTTAACAGGAAGCCAAATTGAGGCTGAGATTTCCATTTATGAAAGTCGATGAGCTTGATGGGACATGTGTGAACAAAAGATGTTTATTCCACTTTGGCTGGAATGTGGTCAGGAATGTGATTTTTCTTAGAGAGCAACTGAATCTACTCTAACACACTAAAAAGGATCCCAGAGCTCTTTCTCTTACAGAGAAAGCCATGGTGATTTTAACTTAGAAAAATTGTCAGATGTTCCAAGAACCATCTGAGCTTCTTTAAAAAAGACAAATTATTGGTAGTTTTGGTATTTTTGGTAAAGTTTATAGAATGTCTATCTTGAAGTACTTATAGCTTACTGGTGAATTTAAGATAAAAATCCTTATGTAATATAATAGAATCTTGGGAAGCTGAACGACTATTTGCTTTTGGGATGGTTTATCTTTAAGCCAGTTGCATGGTAAAAACATCTTGTTTATTTACCCAATTTTATTGACTTAATGTTCTCATTAATTGTAGTTTCTTTTGCATTGCAGTGTTTTAATATTGGGTGCTTCAGGTGGAGTTGGTACTTTTGCTATACAGGTAAACAATTTTTTTCTTTTAATTTTGAAAAGAATTTATATGTGCTGCTCTAGGGTTTTTTTTTGTTGTTGTCGTAGAATTAATACATTAACAAGAGAAATAATAAGACTGATTGATGATGATGGAGGTAATGATAGTTTAAGACTTATTTTGAGCTAACTATAGTATGCTAGCACTTTACAAACATTAACTATTTAAGCCTGCTAGGTGTTTTTTTTTTGTTGTTGTTGGTTTGTTTATTTTAGATTACATCTATCTATATAAAAGCTTAAGTGAACATCACAACCAAACAGACAACCAAACAGGCTTCATGGGGCGACCAGGCCAGCAAAGGGGGTCAATGAGGGGCAACCAAATGACCAAACAGCAAGCTACATGGGGTGACCAGGTCAGCAGGAGGTTAGTGAGGGGCAACCAAATGATTGAACAGCAGGCTGCAAGAGGCGACCAAGCCTGCAAGTTAGGGGAAACCAGGCCGGCAGAGGGGGGCATTGAGGGGTGACCAGGCCAGCGTGGAGGGGGGCAGTTGGGGGCAACTAGGCCAGCAGGGGGGAAGTTGGGGGTGACCAGGCTAGCAGCGGGGAGGTAGCTAGGGACGATCAGATAGGCAGGCAGGTGAGCAGTTGGGAGCCAGTGGTCCTGGTTTGTGAGAGGGTGCAGGCTGGGCTGAGGAGACTAAACCCTCCCTTCCTTCCTCCCCCCGCCCCCAGGAATTTCATGCACTGCCCTAGTTAGTTAATAACACTAAGTTTTAGGTGTACAACATTATGATTCAGAATATACTATATACACTGTAGAGTGCTCACCACCACTAAAAGTTTAGATTCCATCCATCACCATATATTTGGCCCCTTTTAACATTTGACCTCCCCTCACCTCTTCCCCTCTGGTAACCACTATTGTATTGTCCCTAGTTTTTGTTTTGTTTTCTTTTTGGTTGTATATTTCACATGTGAATGAAATAATACAGTTTTTTGTTCTTTTTATGTCTGATTTATTTTACTTAGCATAATATCCTCAAAATCCATTTATGTTATTACAAATAGCAATACTGTCTTTTTTATGGCTGAGTAGTATCCTATTGTATATGTAGTTTTTAGTTGGTTGTTTGTGTTTCTTATTTTGATTGTTGAATTATATGAGTTCTTTATATATTTTGGATATTACCTTATTAGATATATCATTTGCAAATATTTCTCCTATTCAGTTGCTTGCCTTTTTGTTGTAGATAATTTCCATTGTTGTGCAGGAGCTTTGTATTTTTTATATAGTCCCATTTGTTTAGTCCCACTTTTGTTTCCCTTGCTATTCAAGTCAAATCCACAAAATCATCACTAAAACCAATATCTAAAGGCTTAATGTCTATGATTTCTTCTATGTATTTTATGGTTTCAAATCTTTCAAGTCTTTACTCCATTTTGAGTTAATATTTGTGTATGGTATAAGAGAGTAGTCTAGTTTATTCTTTTGAATGTGGTTGTCCAGTTTTCCCAACACCATTTATTGAAGGGACTTTTCTATTGTATATTCTTGGCTCCTTTGTTGTAAATTAGTTGTCTATATATGTGTGGGTTTATTTTTAGACTCTCAGTTCTATTCCATTGGACTGTGTTGTTTTTTTCTGTCAGTACCATGCTGTTTGTTTGTTTATTTATTTATTTATTTAATTATTACTGTAGCTTTGTTGTATAGTTTGAAATTGAGGAGTATGATACCTCTAGCTTTGTTCTTTTTTCTCAATATTGCTTTGGTTACTAGGGGTCTTTTGTGGTTCCTTACAAATTTTAAGGTTTTTTGCTCTCTGTGAAAAATGCCATTGGAATTTTGATAAGAATTGTATTAATCCATAGATTACTTGTGGTAATATGGACATTTTAACAATATTGATCCTAATGCATGAGCACAGAGTCTCTCTCCATTTCTTTGTGTCTCCTTTCATTTCTTTTAAAAATGTAAGATGACTTTTTATCTTATCAATAGAAAGATTATTATTTCATGAATTTCTAAATTCACATAAATTGCTTTTTCTTAAAAGCCTGAGGGAAAGGTAGGTTCAGTAAATTCACTGTAATTTCAGCTTGCCCTTCAAATAAGGAAATTTTCTAATGTAGAAGGAAGTGTTAATCTTTCCAATGGTTTAATATATGAGTCACTTTGTGGATGTCTTGTATAAGAAATGTTGGAAAGCTTTGTAGTCTTGAATTTGAATAGGAAGGATCAATATGAACTCAACATATTTTGTGTACTGATGTATGCAAAGCTGTCTCGTGAAATATCTTTGCTCCTTAAACGAAAGCAGGGCTTTTTGGAGAAATGGCAGATTCCAGATCTGGGGCACAAAATGAGCCTGGAATATATTAAATAATAAGGAAACTATTAACTTGAAGGAACTCCCAAAGATGTGACACTTTGAATTTCAGTAATAATAGTAATTATTATGGATCAAAATCCTTCAAACATATTTAAATCTATGAATTCATTATATATTTTTTAAACGTTCTCAGTTTTGGAAGAGGACCAACTTATTTAAAAACTGAAAAAGGTAAACAATTATGTGTCTTGCCTTTACTGTATGAACTTTATACAGTAAACAAAGCATGTTTCTTCATAAAAGTATTCCAACTACTAAATTTTAAAAAAAAGAATATTACTTTGCAACCACCAGTAGACAGCTGCTAAGATAAGAAGAGCAACAAGCAGACATGATGTGCCTGCTCTCATTTTGCCAGACACTGTCCATAGTCTTGGTAGAGGGATTGAAACAGGAGACACAGAGCACAGAGCAGCATGTGGAACTGAGCCCTGAGTGTGCAATTAGAAATTCCTCATCGGGAAACTGCAGATCCGGTCAATGGCCTGGATTTTTTCACTGATAAATTATTACAAAGTGAAGGGATAGAAGAGGAACCTATAGTTTAAAAAGAGGTTTAGAAGACATTGAATTTTAAAAATACACAAGACTAAACTATAGTGTCTAGGGAATGCTTATCTGGGTGCTAAAACAATATATTTTTTAAATTAATTAATTAATTAATTAATTTTTACATATTTTATTGTTTTTTTTTGCCCCCCTTCCTCCCTACCTCACATCCCCTCCCTCCCCAGAGTTTTATGTCCATTGGTTGTACTTATATGCATGTATACAAGTCCTTCGGTTGATCTATTATCTCCCCCAGATCCTCCTCCCCTTAAAACAATATTTTTAAATGCAGGGAGGGGATTACTATAAACATCAGGATAATGATGACTTCCAGGGAGGGAGAAAGTTGTGTTGGGATGGGGCACATAAAAAAGCTTTTGGAATGGCTGCTGTTTTCTGTTTCTGCATTGTGTCTGCCATGTACGCATTTTTTTTTATACTTGTGCTTGTACAAAAATTTTTTTAAAGGTAAAGCTGTTTTTAAAATCTATTAGTGGTGTTTAAAGGTAATAGATAGTTCTAAGTGGGAGAGAAAAAACTAGAAATTTGGAAAAAATTAATTGAACTGTTTCAACATGTGATAAATTCTTCCTGAGGATTTAATACTGTTTAAAGAAACCATTAAATGTAGTGCTTAAAACATAATTTCCTTTTTTTCTCTGCAATCTCTTTTTAATATAGGTACTGGATATTTATCTTAGATTATATTCTTCAATTATATAATTGAATATAGATTGGGACTTGCTGTTGAAAGCAACATGTCATTGTACTCAAGTGTCTCTGTTTGCAGCCTATAAACATCATACATTTTACATGATGTCACTCCTAAATGTCTTAATTCCCCTCATATTTCCAGGGCATATAAACCCTTGGTCAATATTGCTTTTAAAAGTGAGAGATTAGGTAAGATTATATATGGTTTTTAAATCCTTTATTTATTTTTTTGTATGTAAGATTTGTATTGATTTTTTTCTAGAGAGAAAGGAAAGGGAGAGAGAGGGAGAGGGAGAGGGAGAGAGAGAGAGAGAGAGAGAGAGAGAGAGAGAGAGAGAGAGAGAGAGAGAGAGAGAGAGACGGGGGGGGGGAGGGGAGGGAAAGAGAAACTTTGATGTGAGGATGTGAGTGTTTCATTGAGAAAATCAATTGGCTGCTTCCTGCACGCCCTCTACCAGGGATTGAGCCCACAAAACAGGCATATGCTCTGATGGGGAATTGAACTGGCAACCTTTATGTGCTTGGGATGAGGTTCAATCAATTGAGTTACACCAACCAGAACATTCCTCATTATTTTAAAAATATCAGGCATCCACATTTTATATCTGGGGAACTATATATTTAGGTCTTTTTTCTTCCAAGGTAATCATGTTTAAAAAATAAAGTGGTTTTATTTTCCTCACTTCTTTTAAAAAGCATCTAATCATTTATTACTTAGTACTACAGCTATTTGCCTTTTTTAAAAAAATAAATATATTTTTATTGATTTCAGATAGGAAAGTAGAGGGAGAGATTGAAACATCAATGATGAGAGAGAATCATTGATTGGCTGCCTCCTGCATACCCCCTACTGGGGATCCAGCCCAACCTAAACATGTGCCCTTGACCAGAATTGAACTTGGAACCCTGCACTCCATGGGTTGATGCTCTATCAACTGAGCCAAACCAACTAGGGCAAGCTAATTGCTTTGATACAGTTGCCTTACTCAAGACTGTATTAAAGATACAGATGAAAAAATGTTGCATTTTTATGTTCTGAATATATTTAAAATTGTAATTTTCTGAGAACATATTTTTATTTATTTACTACGGGCCCAGTGCATGAATTCATGCACCTTGAAAGGAATTGTGGGCTGCAAGACTGCAGTGAGCAGAGGGGCAGGTCTTGGCCCATCATCCGCGCCCCCACTGGGGTCTGCCAGCCACAGCCCCTGGTCCCATCTGCTTGTAGCCCCGCTCCCACCACCACCACCACCACCACCACTTTCACATGCTGATGGTGTTAGCCTTGTTCGCACCCGCTGACAGTGTGGAGCGATTGGGGCCGGTATTAGCAGCTGGTATGATTGACGGCTGCTGCCCCCATGACCCCTCAGGAGCAAGGGGAGATGGATAAGCCCTCTGGATGATCAGGGCTGGCATCCACCGCTCACACCCACTGCTGACCCTGAGCGATCGGGACTGGCACTGGGTACCGGCAGTAGGTGCGAGCAGGGCTGTTGCCAGCAGCAGGTGTGAGTGGTGGCTGCCAGTCCCGATCGCCCCTCAGAAGCAGGGGGAAGTAGAGTGGTGCTAAGGGGTGATTGGAGCCAGCAGCCACTGCTCGTACCCGCTGAGGATGCCAAGTGATTGGGATCAGAGCTAGGCACCGGCAGTGATTGTGAGCACCAAGCAGGATCACCGTGCTCAGGAGCAAAGAATTTTCAGTAACCACCAGAGTGATTGGTGCCCCACCTTGGTCTGTGCGCTCTCCCTCACCTCCTCAGCTCACCTGCTCCACCATCTCACCACGGCCACCATGGTCAATGGCAATCAATGCACAACATAGTGATCGGGTTGTTCCTCTGATCTATTTTCATATTAGGGTTTTTATATATATATTTGGATTTACTTTTGTCAACCTTAAAAGTACTATAGACTCCTGTCTTTTCTGATACTGGTGAAGCATTGAGCCCTTCTCTGATTGGATTGGTTATAACTATGACAACAGGAGACTGGCTGTCTCATCCAAGGAAATGAGATCTACTTCTTGGAATTTTCTGAGTGAATAAAAGTTGAATCATTTTTCCTAGTTTCTGACAGATGGCTTCCTGTAGTGCTCATTAAGACGAAGCACTTAGAGTTCTCTAGAGATCAGGCTGATATATGTACACGTGGTGCCAGCTATTTTAAAAAATGTTTTTTACTTTCTCCCTCCCCTCCCCCTCCTTTTATTTGGCAGGTAATGAAAGCATGGGATGCTCACGTGACAGCAGTTTGCTCTCAGGATGCCAGTGGACTTGTAAAGAAACTTGGGGCAGATGATGTAATTGATTACAAATCTGGAAATGTGGAGGAACAATTGAAATCTTTAAAACCGTATGTATTAGAACAATGTTCACAGTTGATAATGAAAGCCTGAGATGGTTTGGTGATCATGTTGGAATCTTAGAGAGGGATCTATGAAAATATTCAATGTCAGTAGAAATCATTTAGATTGGTTCCTGCTTTAATTCCAGATGTTAACATAGCACAGTAACATAATGAGATAGGTATTGAGGAAGATATTTTGCTTACGGTGTCTTTTCAGTTAACTTTCATTACTGGCTTGTAACAGGTCTGAAGGCAAAATTGTAAGTGTGTTCCTTTTGATGGCATCTGTCACCCCAGGAAGAACTTAGAGCAGTGCATGAAAATTTATGCTTAGCACTAAACACATTTTTGGCTTAATAAGGGCTTCACAGAAACAAAGGCAGCATAAATATTGATGATGGGAGCACTGTGAATGTTCTCGGTGCCTTTGAATGCCAGGCTGTGGTTTGGCTTAATGTACGAACGGGAGCAGATTCAGGCCTCCCAGGCCCTGTTCATCTTGACTGTGGGTGCTTACTAATCTGGCCAAGATATGCTGAGAGCATAACCTAGAAGTGATTGGAAATCTACGTTACTGCTTCTTTTTCTTTACTGAGAATCAAACTGGCCATCTTTCAGTGTACAGTGCATGGGCTGATTTCCTGCCAACTGAGCCACATAGGCCAGGGCTTATTGCTTCTTTTTCAAAGGTGTTTCCTTTTTCGATTACTTTTCAGAAGCCAGCTATTCTTGTCCACTTTGTGTAGAAATATATTTTCATGGCTTTAAAAAAAAAAAAAAGAAAAAGAAAGAAAAAAAAAGGAGCCCCTGTCTGACTGCCTAGCCTTTTCCCAACTCCCAGCAGCAGTATGGCAGTGCACCCAGGAACTGACTGCTTATTCCTTCAACTGTTTATGGAGCCTCCACTCTTGCCAAACAGTGTTAGGTAGTGGTAGTTCCACTGATCTATACTTTCTGCTGCCTCTAGGTACAGCAGTATAAGACTGAGGCCAAGGCCAACCCATTGCCCTCTATCTACCTTATCTTTAAACATGTCTGGAGTATGTCACCAGAGAATAGGGAACTGATGACTGAAAGGCTGTAGCACACCCAGACCAACACCCACAGCTGTGGCTACAGTTTGCTCATCCACATCACTCAAGAGTGGTCTTAATCCTTTGCTTACTCCCTTCCAGTGGAGGATCTCATTAGCTTACAAATGTAGACCATTACTTTTTTTTTTTTTTTTTGACAGCTTTAGTTAAAATTTATATTTATAACTTACTAGTGGCCTGGTGTGTGAAATTAGTGCACTGGTGGGGGGTGTTCCTCAACCTGGCCTGCACCCTCTCCAATCTGGGACCCCTTGAAGGATGTCTAAACTGGCAGTCAGACATCCCTCTCACAATCCAGGACTGCTGGCTCCAGCCGCTCACCTGCCTGCCTGCCTGCCTAATTGCCCCTAACCACTCTGCCTGCCAGCCTTATCACCCCCAAATGCCCTCCCTGCCAGCCTAATCACCCCAAACTGCCCCCTGTGCCAGCCTGCTCACCTCCAACTGCCCCCCTACTGGCTTGCTCACTCCACAGTGCTCCCCTCCCCCCTGCTATCCTGATCACCTCCAACTGGTCCCCCTGCTGGTCTGCTTACCCCCTGCCATTCCATCCTGGCCTGATCACCCCCCAGCGACCCAAGGTCCCAGCCCCTCCTTTCCCCCTCCCCCCCAGCAACTCCTTGAGTGGAATTCAGGGCTGGCTGGAAGCAAGTATCTAGGATTTATTTATCTTTTATAATTGAAACTTTATAGCCTTGAGCAGAGGCCAGGGCCAGCCAGGGAGAGCCGGAAGCTTGGCTTCCTCCATCACCGGGGGCAAATCCAGCTCCATGGCCACCACCATTTTTTGTTGGATTTATTTATCTTCTATAATTGAAGCTTTGTAGCCTTGAGTGAAGGCCAGCACTGGCCAGGGTGGGTGGGAAACTTGGCTTCCTTCATCACCTGCGCAACCCAAGCCTCCTGCTTGCTCCAGCTTCCTGGCCGGCAGCCATCTTGTTTGGGTTAATTTGCATACTTGCTCCTGATTGGCTGGTGGGTGTGCTTGTGGGCATAGTGGAATGATGGTTAATTTGCATGTTTCTCTTTTATTAGTGTAGATTCCTGAAGTTTGGCCTCTGAATCTACCTAGAATAAATTTGTTCCTCCTTCTAAATCACAGCTTTTTAGATTTCAATCTTAGAGTTTTATAGCAGGAAAGGGCTCCAAAATTCGTTAGTCCAATTCTATCATGTTATGGTTTAGAAAATCAGGTAGAGGGTATATGAGTTTTGAATGCTCAAGGTCATGCCACTTAGTCATGGGTGGGAGAACTGCATCTACAACCTGGTCTCAGGACTTCTTTTTCAGGTGGTGCCTGTTCTATGATACCAGGTGGTACCTGTTCTATGATACCAGGCTGCCCTTAAGTTTTATTTAAAATAAGTATCATCATTTTTGTTTATTTAAAATTTGGGAAGGAAGTAGAAAATTAAAAGCAGAAACTTTAGAAATTTAAATTCACAATTTTCATTCTTTTTAATGAAAAGAATACTCTTCTAGTAAGGTCATTCTCTTGCACACATAGCCTTCCATTTTTATTTGCCCTTCTTTAGTGTAGTCCCATAAAAAACTTAAGATCTACAAAGTTGATCAAAGCTGGTTCTCATAGCTCTGATGCTCGATTTCATTCAGATGAATTTATTAAAAAGAAATTTATCAATTTACTTAATGTATAAGGATACATTCTCTAAATAGATCTTTGTTTTAACAAATATTTAAAAGCTTCATTGGGTTTTATCCCTGTTAAAGAGAATGTAGTGATTATAGCAGCTTTAGATAAGATGTAAAGAGTTGAATATCTGTTAGTTCTTGTGGATTCCATCATGACTGGATTTTCTGGGCATGTTAGAGCAGAATTGAAGACTGAGAGCAGGCTGTTAATTACTTTATACTTTGTCCCAATGCTATGACTGAAACAACAACAAAAAAGTAGGACATTCCAGAAGAAGAGGATGCTCCTATAAGCAGTTCTAACTCCAGAGGGATTAAAAGCAAATTGTTTTTTGTAGGTGAAAACCTTACATATTTGTCATTCCAGTACTTCTGTGCACTAAAGAATACTTTTACTTTTATCGCATGGATAGCTTTGCAGTTTTCTATAAAGCTTGAGTTGAGGTTTCTCAACCTTGGCTATCTTAGTTTCTCAACAATTGACCTTTGGGACTGGATAATTTTTTGTTGTGAGGGGCTGTTATGTTCCCAGTAGGGTGTTTATCATCATCCCTGGCCTCTAGATGCCAGTAGCCTCTTCTCAGCACCTTCCAGGGTTGTGACAACCAAAAATGTCTCTAGGCATTGCCTAATAGGTCCCCTGGGAGCTAAAATCACCCTCTATTAACAACCGCTAGTTTAAATCATTCTTAAAGTATTAGAAAATTTGATTTTATGACACAAAAAGTCAGTCATGTTTGACTTATCTAGGAGAAAAGCCAAAGTTTCTATAAGTAGCTATTCCCTTTACTCCTTTATCAAAGCAGCCACCCCTTGGCTGGATAGCACAGCACAGTTTAGTTTGTGGCTGTCACTGAAAGAAACCCTATGGCTAATGGTGATGGGATTGAAGGGGGATTGGAGCCCTGAGTAAAAACTGACAAGGATATTTTGATTTGCTTCTTCCTCCCCAGGTTTGATTTTATCCTTGATAATGTTGGTGGATCCACTGAAACATGGGCTCTAAATTTACTCAAGAAATGGTCAGGAGCCACTTACGTGACTTTGGTGACTCCTTTTCTCCTGAACATGGACCGGTTGGGCATAGCAGATGGCATGTTGCAGACGGGCGTCACCATGGGCTCTAAGACACTAAAGGTAAGGATTCAAGTTCTGGTTGGTGAGAACAAACAAGTGCCTCTCGCTCCTGGAAATTGATTTACACCGAGCCAGTTTCTTTCATCTTGGAGACAGGCATGGGCTCTGAAGTCGCACTCTGACTGTGTTCAAATTTCAGCCTCCTTAGTAGCTGTGTGACCCCTTGCAAATCACTGTCACTAGACCTTGATGTCTTCACCTATAGCACGGGGCTAGTAGGATATATGCCTTACCCCTTGTTGTAAGGGTTAAATGAGATAATCCATGTGAAGGACTTGGCACAATGTTAGCCTTTATTGTTACCATCTGATATACCTTCTGCTTTTTTCTTTCCTATACCTGATGCTCTCTATCTTCACCAGTCTTAGTACATAAGGTCTCTTGTATGGGAAGGTGAAAATTTTAGTAAGTGTGCAGCTGGCTGTTTTTATTTATAGGATTGGGATATGCCAGTGATTTCCATTTGGGGCTTTCAGATCTTTAGAAGTCCATGGGAAATTTTTGAATTTCAAAGACTGGGAAGAAATTGTAGTCTTACTTCAGTGAGACTACAAAGACCCATAGAACCATCAGGCCTTTCCTGGATTTGTATTGATTGTCCCAACACTGCACATCCCATATGGATCAGAAACTCTAGCTATTGATGGCATTCTGGGAGTTTCTGATGCTTGATTAGTCAGCCTGACTATTAAAGGGCCACTGTTACCAGGGCTTAAGGAGCTCTGACCCCACCTGAACTCACCCAGTGTGTGGTGGGCCTGGAGATGTGCAGCCTTCATTACAGGACTGATGGCACGAGTGTTTATTCTTAACATGATAGCCTGTTGTCCTCACAATGACGACAGAGCCTTACATAATTCCACCTTATTCACTGTTGGTAATCAGAGGTCATTGACTTAAAATCTGAATTAGTAAGAAGGTGGAATAAGTGATACAAAAAGGGAAGATAAATTCTATTTCATTAATTAGACAAAGGAAAAAGGCAGTAGAAGGTTGTGGGTCACTGTGTCATGCTCTCCACCACTGACCCATATTTGTGAGATGACTGGCTTGATAATTATCTTAACTTTTTTTTTATTCTAGAAATTAATTTGGGACCTTTCTGGGAGTGAACTTTAGGACTTTGGTCTCTCGGATTTTGTGTACTAACTACACACTTAGAAGTGGTAGCGAAGAGCTGTGATAAAAGAGACCAGCACTCAATTCTTCGGAACCATGTGTGGGTGATAGAGGTGAACACCCAGCAAAGTGTTCCGGGGCCTTCATTTTCACTGGATCCAGACACAGCCAGAAAGTGTCCACAGGGTGCTCTGAGAGAAAGGGAACGTACTATGATTTGTCTCTTTCCCTTTTCACAAAGCCCAGGCTTTCCAAGAGCCTTAAAATATAAGTTTAAGTTTTCTAAATAGTTTTACAGTTTGTATTCCAGTGAGTCTCCTTACAATTTAACCTTCAGAGCTGGCCTCAGAGAGTAAAACAGGCATAGTTCTCTTCATTTTCCCTTTCTCCCTGCTTGAAAGATGATAGTGGTAATCTCATGTGAAAACCTTTTAAGTAGTTTCTGATGTCTTTCTGAGAATGTGCAGTTAAAGCCTCATTGTAATGCTCTGGGCTCTCCTGCCTGCTTTGGTTTACTCACTCCTGTAATGGCCTGGAAAAAAAAGTAAAAATTCTGCTGTTGCAGGCCAGAAGTTTCACTTTACAGGGCAACGCACTGTAAAGAGTTATAGACAGGGCAGTGGTGAACTATTGCTATTCCTTCTTTAAAACCCTAAACAATTACCAGAATGTTTTCATTGTAGTCTGGAAGGCTAGACCTTAGTAGGAAGTACATGAGTTGGTCTGTGGGTGCAATTAACTGGGCCCCCTGTAAGCGTGGGATAATCTCAGTGTTTTAAACGGTATTTTTTTGCCTTTCTTTTTTTGAAGTTAGTTACCTAGACCAGTGTTTCCTGACATCTTTCATGCTCTGACACATAGAATATGAAAGTATTTGAAGAGCATATTGAGGCTCCTCTGGGTCAAGACCAAACTAGAGACTCTGCAGCCCAGGCTCTGCCCTGCTATCCCAAGGGCTGACGGGGGTCCATGCCCATTACACCTATTCTAGGGTCAACTTGGTTCTGTTTGCATTTGTGGTCTTGGGATAATTATTTATGGTGACTTCTTTAACTCTCACAGTTGTTCCAGGTTAGACAATAAACTGTAGGGTTACTTGACCAAGCCCGTAAGCCATTCCTGACACACCTGCTGTGAAGCTCTGCCTAGATAGCAGCTTGGTTTTGTCTTTCTTTCTAGTCTTAACTCTCATTTGATATTGCCCCAGTCTTTCCTCAGTAAGCTTTACTTTAGCACGAGGTGAAACATTTATTGTATACTTTTTATGTATCGGGTATTTTACATGCATTCTCATTTAATCCTTCCAACAACCCTGTGCGCTAGGTGATGGCATCACCATTCGGCCAGGAAACAGGCCGAAAGAAGTAGCTTCACCTAAATAGCACAGCTATTAAGTTCATGAGCTCAAGTAGCAGAGAGTTCCATTATACTTGCCAATTCCATGCCTTGGTAGCAGCAGATTCAAGCTGAGGCAACGTGAGGGCGGGCCCAGGGAAGAGGAGTCAGCCATCCCAGCAGTTGTGGCTACGTGCAGGGAGGGAGGAATATGGGCCTGGCAGATAACTCAGGATAACTCACATCTGACCTAGTGTAGTTGGGCAGGTCAATGGAGTATCATGGAGACCCTCAGCTCACTTGTTTTCATCATGGCCTAATGATAATAAATAATAACAATTCAAAGTAGGTATGGCAGTAGAGTGATCATGAACCCTCTTGGTGTAAGATTTTTGTTTATCTTCACCAGGAGATGTTTTGTCCCATTATAAATTAGGTGGCTGTGGACTTGCTGTAACTCTAGGGGAAGACTCAGCCATGATATGTAAAAAAAAACAAAAACAAAAACAAAAAACACCCTAACTTTGTTTTGCCTTTAAAACTATCTTATTACTCTCAGAGCCAGAAAAAACAAACAGTGTGATTGGATTTCTTATCTAAAATTATATTTTGATGCCTTACTATCCCCAAAGAATTCTTGAATTAGTTAAAAAGCTCTTTTCTGATGACTCTTGGCCTTAACTCAAACGTTAGCAGAGAAGGCCTCCAGGTATCCTATAGAGAAGAAATTGAGTGTTAGACCATTTAGACCAGTGTTTCCCAAAGTGTGGTACGCGTACCTCCAAGGGTACGGGAAGACTTTGGTGGGGGTACGCATTGCACCGGAGTTTGGTGGGGACATGCACTGCACCATGCTTAGCTGCGCCTAATTCTACATTCTCATGAGTACGAGGGGTACTCAGCGTTAAGAAAATTATAGAAGGGGTACACATATGTCAAAAGTTTGGGAAACACTGATTTAGACTGTCATTTTAAGGAGAGCTTTCCTGTGCTTACTAGTCAGTCGCACGTTAGTGAAGAAGCCTGAGTTCACAGGGATTTTTTTTGTTCATTTATTTCCTAAACATTCACAAAGCATTCACTATCTGTCATTCACTGTGCTAAGGTGCTGGGCATGCAGCTCATTGTGGCAGCATGAAATGGGAAGTCAGTTTGTCTGTCCTAGTCCTCCAGAAAATACTTCTCACTAAATTTGCATTTAGTCAGAATTTATCCTTTTCTGTATTTGACATGTCTTTTTTTCCTTTTCATTTTAGCATTTCTGGCAAGGAGTCCATTATCGCTGGGCCTTTTTCATGCCCAGTGGTCTATATCTGGATGACATTGCAGAGCTCGTGGATGAGGGAAAGGTATGTGCACCCTGTTTGTGTTGCTAGAAAGTTTCTTATAATCTGGGCAACTTGCCCACCAAGCCCAGGCCTTGGGAACTCTGCAGAGATGGGCTCAACCAGCATGTGTGCTGCCTCACGTGGCCAAATTTAAGTGCCGTGTGTTTTGTCCTAACTCCTTGGGAATCATAGACTTAGACTCCTATACCTCACACTGTCTAGTCTAATACTTTTGGTTTATAGATGAAGAGGCAGGCCCAGAGAGGTTATATGATTCCCCTGAGAACCATTGGTTAGTGGTTAGCAGAGCTGGGGTCTGTAGCTGGGCTGTTACTAGTTTGCTGATGTTCTTGAAAAAGAAGGCACCATGAAAGTGCATGGAGGTGGGTCACACTTGTGAGTTTACGAAGGAACTGCTTCTGGAGGTAAGCAGCTTTCCAGACGGGCAAGGAGACAAAACATTGGAATTTAAATCCCAACAGAACTGGACTGAAAGTCAGGTACCGGGGTCTCCTGTTCCCTGGCTGGTGTAAGAAAATTGAGGGCCAGTAAATGGTATACCTGAGAGGGCAGGACATGGGTGAGGATAAATGGAGACTTTATGGGGTAACTGTGGGTATTCTGCAGTGGGCATTGTGGGGAAGGATTGCTGCTTATAGTCTGGTCACATCTTTTGGGGTATCAAAAGGCCTTTCAGGGCTGTTGAGGATTGAGTTTCCTCAGCTACTGCCGTTTGAGTTTATACACAATCTTAATCACCCTGATACTTCATCTTTGAAGAATAACCTAGAAAGCAAACTCATATTTTGGTGTTGATATTTATGACTTTATTGAGAGATTATATGGAATTATATACTCTAGAGGATTGTATGAGGGCATAGATAAAATCATTCCCATTTTACAGTTGAGAAAACTGGCTCAAAGAGATAATGGGACTTGCTCATTTGCAGAGCTGGGACCAGAATTCATTATTTCCCGACTCCCAGTCCTGTGCTTTTTCCTTCTATACCTTCAGTTGCATTCTTAGTGCCTAAGTATGATCTAGGACTTCCCTTGTCATTTTCCAGTGGGCAGGGAAAGTGATTGGAGCAGGGCCAGCATTACCACCGCGTGATCCATGCTAAGCCACTTGCAAAGACCCTTTGTGATGGACTTGCTTCTGCTGGCACCTGCCCCTTGCTGGCCCATTTTATCATTCTATTTCAGTTGTTAAATGGACAGTTCTTAGGAACTTCTGACTTCTTTTTGTACATGTACTGTTTCATTTTTAAATTCTGTTACAGCCAAGGAACTACATACAGTATGTGATAGTAAAGACCTACTACTCTTCCTAAATTTTTTGGTTCCACCTTTCGCATGCCTTTTCTCAGACTTCTGAATCTGGCTGTGTCGATGGAGGGCTCAGCCTTATTATCACTGTGTGAGTGCCCCTTTGCAGGGGTCTTCCCACATCCCTTGGATGCTTATTTTATTTTTAGAAAGACGAGAATAAACTATTGTAAGGTAATTTGGACTGGACCATGATTCTTCATAGTGCTCATGTGGTTGGAGCCCCATTATTAAAGAGATCCCTGTCCTACAGCGGCCAGCACACAACTGTGCTTGTCCTGATAGCTGCTTCAGGATGTCCTTTTGCTTACCACTTTGTATTCAAAACACTGACTCTTTCTCTCTACCTGGAAAATACTATTTACGAAACAAAGAAGAGAAGTGACTTGTGTATATGTATCTATTAAATTTGGCAGATAACTGGTAGAATGGCTAATAAAGGAAATGATAGAAATAAAGAAGCCCTTGAAGTATCCTTGAGCGAGGAGCAGTGAGGAAATATTCTTCTGACCTTCTCTGCTTGGGCTTGTGTGTAATTCTGACAGCCCTGGTGAGGTCGGCTGTCTTATCGTGCATTCTGCTTCTTTGTGGGTGCAACAGGTCACTGACTGCCTACACTTGGAAATCAGAAAGGATTACGTATCTGGTCTACTTACATATTGTGTGGTTAGTAAAGATTGACATTCTGTAGGCTTTGGCTGAGTGTTTAATGACTCTAATTCGAGGCATCTGATAGAGGAGCTATAGTTGTTTGATACTGTGAAGCCATGAACCAAAAGAACCTACTCTTTTAAAATACTTAAACTTTTTAAATCAAGATACATTTGCAAGGTTTAAATTTAAAAGCTAGGAAAAGTAATTTTAATTTTTCCTTTGACTCCTGTCCCTCAGTGACTGAGATTCTCCCTGTCAGATGCAACCAGTGTTACCAGTTTTTTGAGTATTCCAAATATGGTCTCCGTATCAGTAGGTAGATACAGAGAATGATTTATAATCAACATATTGAGTATAATGGGCAGCTGAAATTGTGCCTTGTGCCATTTTCTGCTAAGCACAATAAGCATTTTCTGTTTGTTTGTTTTTTTGTTTGTTTTTTATACTATTTAGCAATCATTTTTGGTTGGGAGGGCCATAGCAAATATTAGATTTGGGCCAAATATATGTCATTGATTAACATACTCAAAGATTAAAAACATGAAAACCTAGCACATATCTAGCTTACTGTCCTCCCCCCCCTCCTCTCCCCATCCTGCCACTGTGTCATGTTTAGAGAGACTGAGGCTCTAAGAGACTAAATGACATGTTCAGGGTCACAGAGCTAGTCAAGGCCCAGGTCTCATGAACTCTGGGACAGTTCCTTCTACCATCCTTTGCTGCCTTTAAGATTGGGACAATAATAGTTAAAAACTAAATTTCTCTTCCTGGCCAGTAGGACTCAGTTGATTGGTTATTGTCTGTTGGTGAGGATTGGGCCGAAAGGTTGCGGGCTCTGTCCTCAGTAGGGGTATGCAAGAGGCAGCCTATCAATGTTTCACTCTCACATTGATGTTTCTCTCCTCTCTTCCTCTTATTCTAGAAAAATCAATTAAAAATCTTAAAAAAATAAAAATAAATTTCTCATAGAGCCTTCATTGTTTTTTGTTTGCTTAATCATCCAGATATTAGATAGTGGAGTTTGAATTCTATCTACAAAATCCTTTTCTTGAATCTGTCAGTATCTTTCAGGACTTAGAGGAGGTGATGAGGCAGTCTTAAGGTCACAATCTGCCACTGATAAAAATGAATGTGCTTTCAGGGAAAATATATATCTTTGCCTTCATATGCATGTGTTACTTTCTTATTGGTGCTGTAACAAATTACCATAAGTGTTGTGGCTTAAAATAACACTTATCTTATAGTTGTGGAGGTCAGAATCCAAAATGGGCCAGCAGATCTGTGTTCCTTTGGAGGCAGGTGGTGGCGAGGGTCTGTTTCTTTGCCTTCTCCAGCTTCTAGAGGCTGCCGATATTCCTTGGCTCATGGCATTGTGTCACTTTAACCTCTGCTTCCATTATCCTCTCTCTCCTTCTGACTAATCCTCTGCTCCCCCTTGTGATTATGTTGGATCTACCCAGCTAATTCTCCCATCTCAAGATCCTGTCCACAATCTCATCTGCAGAGACCTTTTTGCAAATTAAGTTATCATATTTGCAGGTTTTGTTAACCTGGCTGCCACAAGCATAAGATATCTCAAAAGATATGAAAAAAAAATTAAAATGCTGGTCACCTTGAGGAGGGGAGCTAGGTGGCTGAGGATCAAGTAGGGGCGGGAAATTTTTCTTTGTACCCTTTCATCTTTTTTAGTATGTTTCTTTGCACACATTCTTCATGTGATCATTAAAGACCTTTGATGTCATATTCTTAATGTCCACAGGTCTACTGAAGATCCTAGGTGACCAGCCAAGCTTCTTGATTGAGTGATGATGTAGATACTTCTGTTTATGTCTTTATTTGAGTCAGCATCAGAATAGTTCCTATGTACTAATTCGAAATTAATTCAGAAAACTTACCGAGGGCCCACTGGATCTCTGCTTCACCCAGTAGGGTGTGGAGAGGTATTTTGGCAACACTGAGTTATCTCTGAGCAGTGCTGTACACTGGCTCTCTGTGGGGTTGGAGAAGTTCTCTGTCTGCACTGTGCAGTATGGTAGCCACCAGCCACATGTAGCTGTTGACTACTTTAAAGGTGGCTAGTGCAACTGCGGGACTGTTTCATTTTATTGACTTTTGATTAGCTTAAATTCAAATAGCCACATGTGGCTAGAGGTTACCGTTATAGTACAGTTTTATTTATTTATTTATTTATTTATTTATTTATTTAATATATTTTATTGATTTTTCACAGAGAGGAAGAGAGAGGGATAGAGAGCTAGAAACATTGATGAGAGAGAATCATCGATCAGCTGCCTCTTGCACACCCCCAACTGGGGATGTGCCCGCAACCAAGGTACATGCCCTTGCCCAGGATTGAATCCGGGACCTTTCAGTCCGCAGACCGATGCTCTATCCACTAAGCCAAACTGGACCCGGCCCGTTATAGTACAGTTTTAGAGAAAAAAGGTACCAAGTTCCGAGTTAGACAATTTCCCAGACCCCTGTTGAGATGGCCAGGCCCTCGTTTAGGCAGTTAATTACATTGCAAAACTGTAGGCTCCTTATTGGCAGCTGGGATTTTTCCTCCATAGAAAGAATGCAGTGACCAGGGATTGAATCCTAGGTACACTAGACGAGGGCTATCTTGCCAGATATGACAAGTGCCTCATGGATCTGAAGCCTTGACGCCACATGTTTTCTGATGCTGCTGAGATTATTTCTGTGAGGAAATATAGGCAGAGTTTCCCTCTCACCTGGCAGAAAGGAGTGCCTTTTTTTCATGGGGACTCAGGGACAAGTCCTGGATGCTTTCCAAAATGAGCACAGTTACTCCCTTTGAGAGTATCCCCATCCCACCCCATCTCACCGCCTATCTTCTAGCTTAATGTTTTCTATCTAGGGCAGGAAGTTCCAGAAATAGCAAATCCAAACAAAGTCTGCCTCTTTCTTTTGTCTCCTTTATGTCTCCTTAGATTAAGTCCCCTCATTCCCTTTTACCCCCACCGTTGAAATGTTGAACCTATCTCAGAGGTCAGGGCCATACTTGTTTAGGAGGCTGG